GGTAGGGAGTCCTTTAATTATTTGAATTGGCTGACCGCTTTCTTCAATTTCAATGCAGTCTTGATCGCCGCTTACATAGGAGGAGTCATTTTAATTAATCAAGTCTAATACATGAAAACGAAAAAGAAACAGAACAAAACAATTATCAAATCCAATAAAAAAGCAAGGCAACCAACGAAAAATAACGCGTCCTATCGATTGGCGGGAGGCGGGGAAGTACGGTAATTGCAGTGGCATTTGCCGCATGCCGCAAGGGAGTATGCCGCGATAGGGGAGAAGTTCCGTTACCCCTTTCCTTCAAAGGCGTGTAGGCCAGGAAAAAAGTGGAAGGAATGAGCAAGGCCTCCTGCGTGCTGGGCATGCGTAAACCAAGAGAAACTCCGTATACGGTGGGCGGGGCGTGCACTTAAATGGAAGGTGAAAAGTGGAAAGAAATGTGGCCGAATCCCTGAAGTGGGCGGGGCTTACTCTGGGGTTGAACACCGAATGCGACGCCGCTTTCTCCAAAAGCTGGGCCAGACATCGCTATGGAGATGCTGTCCAACAAAAGACATGGAGCCTAGCCAACGAAGTTCAAGCCAGATAATCTTGTCTTTGCTCGCGACTTCCGCTCCGGGCAACCCGGATGGTCTACCGGGGGTTGAACACCGAATGCGACGCCGCTTTCTCCAAAAGCTGGGCCAGACATCGCTATGGAGATGCTGTCCAACAAAAGACATGGAGCCTAGCCAACGAAGTTCAAGCCAGATAATCTTGTCTTTGCTCGCGACTTCCGCTCCGGGCAACCCGGATGGTCTACCGGGCATGTTCTACGAAGACATGGCCGTACGCTATACGACAGTCCAAGGATCTATCTGGAAGCGCCACGCTAGCTGGGTGAAACAATATCTGACAAACGCAATCGACATGCTGTTCAATTTATCACCAGCCTCCCTTCAGGGACGTCATCCACACTACCGTTGTCTCCGATGGCCACAACAGCTCCGCTCACGACAACGACGACGACAATGACGACGACGACTGCACCATCAGCGCCTCTTTTCGTTACATCGCGCCGTTTGAAGCCCTCCGGACTTCCTTCAGATTGCCAAAAAACCAGGACCGTCAATCTTAGGGGGGAGATGTTGGAGCATCTGTGATCTCATAGTAGTAGACTGATTGATCTTGTATAGTACTGATCTGCCCAATTTGACCAGGAGATTTGGCGGGCCGGAGCAGTATAAAACTTTAACTTCGTTGTACATTTATTATTCATGGCTTCTAATAAACCTTCCTACTCCTCGCAATCAAACAAGGACACAACACTCACCAGAGTAGCGAGGCCTCGCAAATTTCACAATGGTGCCTAATATCATGATCTTATAGTACACATCCCTATCATGGTCTAGTTTGGGCTGTTTAAGGCGCGACAATGGCAACCTCAAGAGCAGTTCTGATGACTATCGGTCAACTATCCTTTTATGATCAAATTAAGCAGATGCTAATTGAAAGCGGAATCGCTAAAGACAATCTTTACACACACTTCTCAAGCAGCTTTTGTGCGGTTCGTTTTTCATTCCTTTTTATTTGTTATTTTTTTATTTCTCTTGTCCATTAACCATTCAAGCAAATTTCAAAATAAAATTTAGGCCAGTATTGCCACGATGTTGACGCAGCCTTTAGATGTAATGAAGACTCGTTTGATGAACGCACCTCCTGGACAATTCAAGGTTAGCAGCGAGATTATAGGTGTTTAAATGATTTAAGCTGGCTCAGAATAAATGCAAAACCAAAATCTTCCACTACGAGGAACTAAAGAGGTGATATGGCGAGGACTTGCTCTCAGCTGCAGTTTCTCAGAGGTTTTTTTAAACCGTTTCGCCTGCTGGCTTTACGATCGTGTTAAGTGCCGTTCCGATGAACACTTCCACTACGGATTAAGTCATCCTCTGATTTTGGAATTTTTCAATATTAGCCACAACGTTATACAGTGCGTGGAATGACAAGTTAACACACTTTCTCACGATGAAATCATGTTCATAATACCANTGCGATCCAATCCATCAATCCAATGATAAGCGCGACGACGTAAGTAGCGTGAGGTACAATTCACGTAAAAATGGTTCTTAAGAATTCTGTTTATTGTGAACCTATGATCCCTCAAAATAGCCATGGGACGCTGTCGGGTCGGAAAATGGCTAAAATAGAACGTAGAAAGAGCTGGAGAACCGTGCTTGTGCGACGAACATTCCTGAAGCGGACGGCTTCTTAAGAGTTGCAAAAGCTGTAGAGGTAAAATTCGCACCGACACCCACACCTTGCTCACAGGCACCTTATTGGAGACAGCTGTATGCGATGGCGCGCTTATTCGAACAACTCGTCCAACCTTTCCCTGTGACTACTGTCGTCACTCCTCTTTTACACTATTCTGGACTTCCATTTTCCGATACCCCAGAGTTATCATGAAGTGTGCCTTCAAAGGACTGTCATTAGTAGAGAGCTTGTTCATATCGCGGTGGTTTAGGTAGTTGTGTCATGCGAAAGAAAAGGCAGAACCAGTAACGTTATGAATACTTCAAACAAGGCTATGAGGACTGTCATTAGTATAGAGCTTGTTCATATCGCGGTGGTTTAGGTAGTTCTGTCATGCGAAAGAAAAGACAGAACTAGTAACGTTATGAATACTTCAAACAAGGCTATGAGCTATAGCCCATTCGGAAGCTTCCAGTCTGTTTTGATCACAGACAAGCGTTACGATGTACTGACACCCTACTCGGCGCCTGCGCAACTAGCCGATAGGTCTCCAATCATGTGTCGAGGTTCCTCTCGAAACTGTCTTGTGACACTTATGAGGAGACCGAGATGCTTTCGTCGACCAGTATGCACCTCCCATCCTCAAAGTTTTGCTAGCTGCCTTACACAAATGGCAGGTTCACGCCTTCCAGAGACCTGGCTTATGACGATTATCCACTTTCTTTGGCTCGTCTCCTATGTCGCGTAAGTTGCGCCGGTCGATGGTTCTCCAAGGGTAGACGGTCCAGATATGGAAGCATTATTAACCGATTAGAGAAAAAAGAGGAAGCTGCCCCTCGACAATGAGACGAAGCAGGAATGAACCGATCAAGGCGGATCAACCGCCTTATAAGTGCGTTTCAAAAGTATGTGCACACCCAACATTTTGTTTTTTTTTTGGGAATACCATTGCTTTCTATAACCTGTGACCTTCACGATTCAATTCCCTGTATGCGATAACCTTCCATCACTTCCTCTGAGAAACCATCGTGTTTGCTAACACAATTTTTATTAAAGACAAAACTCTTTTTTGTTTCAAAAGCATGTGCACACTTTGCAAAAAACAAAAATATAACCGAGATCAGAAACCAATAGGGCCTCCTAAATTCCTGT